CTCGAACAAAAAACAATTCTATGGCTGGAACAAATACTTAACAAAAGGGAGTTAGCCGACCATGTTTTTTGATTGATATTTTGTGTTTTTACGAACAGGTCGCAGAAACAAAGCTGTCCTTTTTGAACGTGTGTTGTGTTCAGCATCACAGGTCTCTGTTGCTGTATTTACTGTAGAGACACGTTTTCAGTCACTTTGTGCTGTGCTGTTTTTTTCTTTTGGTTTTTTTTTCTTTTGTTTTGTTCTCTGTGTTTCCTTGCTGTTATATATTTTAAAAGTGTTAGGAATTTTAAGATTAACTTAGATTTGTGTGTCATAAAATGCACTCAAAGCTCCTCTGGACTTATTACCCTATGGGTAAGAATAAAAAGGAAAATAAATCAATATGTAACATTAAGAACTCTAGTCACTTTTTTCTGTAAATAAAAGCACTCTGGACAACTTCAGTGGTAAAAGGCGGTCATTGTTTATACTGATATATATTGGTATATTTGTTTCCACATAAAGGACTTAAAAACAAAATTAAAATGTCTATTGTATTCATTTCTTGTTTTAATATCTAAAGCTTAGAAAAAAACTGTTACAATCAAATTATACAGCTTTTCTATGCATCTTCAAATAAATTATTTGTCACATTCTCTGATACAATAAAACAATAGTTTTAACATTTCAATGACTGTTCTCCAGTGTTCTGACTTAACTAGAAACTTCACTAATTCAGGACTGCACTGCACCAAATAAAACTTGATTGACTGAGTGGTGTTTAACTTGTTAATAGACTCGGTGGTAACATCAAAATTACATTTTAAATTGCTTGAAGAACAGTGTTATTTTTCTTTGTGATTTGAACTCTATTACAAGTCATTGTTATCTTGGAGGCCTCAATATTCTTGTTTATATTCATTTGTACAACATATAAACTATCTTATTAGACTTTTTATTATGCAAGTCATTATAATATAAACTGCATAAACTGCATAGTGGATGGTGATACTTACAAAGCTCTTCCTATGCAGCAGAATAGATTTTGATAACTCAATGCATTACTGTCAAATGTTTGCTGTAGGATGTCAGGTTTTCCTGCGTTCCACTTTCAGTTTGATGTTTAAAAAGAAGCCGAAATCTTTTCAAATCCTTGGAGCTGAATTAAGATGGGGGGGATAGAAACTTTTTTTTCAATTAGCTGAGAGTAGAGCAGGCACAGTGGGGGCTGGAAGGAGTTGAGAGAGGCACACCACGGAAAGAATTACATTTCAAAGGAGAGATCCACCCGCTGGGTGGGGTCGTTGCCCCTCTGCGCTGTGAACTTTGACCTTTCGCCCCCAAGTTTTGTTTGGTGGCCGATCCCCTGCTCTGCAACCCACCCAAGCTCCAATAAAACTTCAGCATCGAGGCCTACTCATAGGAAGCTGTCAGAGACAAAGGTTTTGAACATGGGAAAAGCACACAGCCTTCAGTCCATGTTTTACCTCCCTGTGGGCCTGATTGTACCCTCCGCCATTGAGTTAGTAGGCCATGTGCCCATGTCCATGTTTAGCTTGTTGTCATTTCAGACCTCTCCTTGATCAAAGTAAATCAGGTACATCTGCTCACATAGGATACTTAGGCCCCTGCCCTTTCAGTGATTGCTGTAGGGATGTGTAACTTTCTGTTGATCCAAAATCATTCACATTATACAATAATTTCATTGCATTTCTCGAACTGGCACCATTTTCTAAAGAAGTGATTCTCAACACATGGGTAGATCATGGCAAGTTCTGAAAGGGTCGCGAGGCAGAGCTGGAAACCAGCAAGCTCCTTTGCTGATCCACGATCAAATTTCCCAGCCCCCGAATTAACACATATAAATGGGTCTTGGGTCTGCAATTGCTTAGCGCAAAATTAGTGAACACTCAACCAATCCAAGAAACCAAACCACAGATGCTTAATTTAAAATTCACAGGCACATCCAATCAGATTTGTGCGATAGGCATTGATTGGTGTATATGGATCATATCATTAATTTAAACCTATACTTGATATAGAGTTGCGACTGAGCTGGTAAGGTAAAAATTGAGTCGCGGTGCAAAAACGATTGAGAACCACTGAGCTAGAGGTTATTCACCTTGTCTATGAAATTTACAATTGTGGAATTTTTAAAGTAAGGAAGCAAACTCGTTATAGCTTGGGCTTTGAGGTGCTAATAGTTGAATGGTTGATGCAGCTAATGCCAGTATGAGAGACCACAGCATGTAGTAACCTCACTAGTAAACTCTAGTTCATTGATTTAGATGTATGTTCCTGGTTTCATAAAAAATGATCAAAGCACTATAAAGCTCTACTGAATATATGGAGTTTGCTAATTCAGAAACTACGCAATATTTTTGCATGCATCCATCGTCCATAACTGCACATGCAGTATAGGATCAGGGTGATCATATAGAAAAAACACACCCCAGAAAGTACACCCAGGACAAAGGGCCAATTCACACAGTGCACAAACACTAAGGGCAGTTAAACTAAACATGCATTTTTGGATAACAGAGAACCAAGAGGAAACCCCAGAAAACATGGGGAGAAAATGCAAACGCACACGCAAAGCAGGGGTGGGATTGGCCAGTTAATGCAATCTTTGCGTTTTTATATATGACATTCCTCATTACCAGGACCTTCATGCCCTCCAAATAGGACAGTCTTAAGCTACCAAATAAACAAATAACACATATCCTGACCCTCTCCTCCAACCCCATCCCCCCTCCATGCTAAAACAGAGACAGTAAGCTGACATTGAAAAAAGACTTGCAGTGTAAAAAACCCACACTGGAAAAAAAATGGACTATCATTGAAAAACCACATCAAAACAAAAGCATAAACAGTAAAATTACAAATGTTATGGTAAAAAAGGATCAAGTGTGTTACATTTCTTATTTTAGTCCGGTGGAACAGTTTTCAGTGGCCAAAGTTACTTCCAGTACTAGGGTTTCAATGCCAGTGTTATATATTTCAGTGTTTTTTTTTTTTAATCAATGCCGATTTTGTTTTTTCTCTGTCAGACTTAAAATTTCTAATTTAGCCCAATATGTCACTTACCGTCACACCTCCCTCCTCTCCACTGGCTGAAAATTGCAGCTTATAACAGGTTTCTGGCCTACTAATGATCAGCTTATGGACTACTTCTAATAAGCTTTCACCAGTTCCTACCTTTCAGTGGGCAGCTCTTTCAATACTTCCCTCTCCCCCAGGCCCCACAAGGCTGGGTAACGCTTCCAAAAACAATTGTTTGTTGACTGTTTCCATTTACTGGCTAATAATTCACCTCTTTAGGTTGTAACATGGTTCCTACAACTTGGTCACAAAAAATAGACAGGATGCACCATAGAAAAAATGGCAGCCCAGGGCAGAGCATCCACACACAGGCACACAGCAAAGGACGATTTCCTTGAGCTGCACTTTTTGGGCTGTGAGAATAAAGCATGCAGAGTATGCTGAGTAGACAGAGCTTTAGAGCTGGAGACACCATAGTACAGAGAGGCGATAAAATGTAACATGCTTGGTCCTGCTGAAGTTCCAGAAAATAGAAACTTAATTTAAAATCCATCCATCCATCCATCCATTTTCTAATTTAAAGTAAATTCAATGTTCAAGCAGGTATAGCATCTGGATAGATGGATGGATGGATGGATGGATGGATGGATGGAAGCTGAATTCAATTTCAGTAAAATTAGAAAATATATGAGTGCTATATATTTTTGATCATAAATCTCTAAAATCAGATGTCAATCAGTAACTGTAATAATCTGACTCCAGGAATTAATCGCAGACTGCATGTACATTAGGGTATTTCAACTCTTTTTTTTCGACCAGGCAGAGAATGTTATTGTAGTAACTGGTGGAAAGATGAATGAAGATTTTACCTTTTTTGGATGTAAAACATTAAAAAACAAAGATATTGCATGGCCCCCTTTGCTAGAAATAATTACTCCATAGAATTTATGCACCAGCCGATAAAGAAACACAACATGAGATGACCTGATAAGAGAAACTAACACTGAGTGTGAAGGTAGAATGAACCTGTGACAGTTCTGTGCACACTGTTCAGTTATCTGGTGAAAATGTTTACCCACAAGACATTCAAAACTATGGACCTTCAGTACTAATGATTCAAAGGATTTAGCAGCAAAAGCACTAATTGGCGATAAAGGGAATCAGAGGGAAGAGATAAACCAATTTTTACTTCATATGCAAATATAGGAATTAGACTAAGAGTTTTGAATGACTGACGATACTGAAAAAAACCAAACAAAACACCTTATTAGCACAATAATGGGCAGCAAATAGGCACCAGCAGGATGAACATGGAGCAGAGAGACAGAGGAGGCAAAGACAAAACAATACAGTGAACAGCTAGAGGTGCTGGGCAGACAGACCCTATAGCCCACAGACAATCTCATATAAAAGAAACGCACAACTGTAACGAATTCCTACTAAATAAACACAGACACACCTGAGTATGTATTCCTAAGCAGCTGAGTATTTAATGTCAAACTAATTCAAGCCCATCAAATTATTTTCTACCATGGTTAGTTATGTTAGCCTTTAGTAATAGCTAGGTTATTTGATTCTGTCCAACTTAATAGATACACTTTAAATAAATATTGAATATAATAAATATAAAACCTAAAATATAATGTAAGTGAACAATGGGTTCTTAGTTATTTTAAAAGTACAGATTTTTAGATTTAAATAAACTTTCATGAAATGTACTAGGACCAAATAATGGCGTAACTCCAAGTCAGATTTGCCTTCGGCTTGAAGTTCTGCAGCAATCCACCATAAATATTTATATATCAAATATGTAACAACCAAATATTAGACACTGTAGGCAGTATACTATTTTTTTTTTTTTAAAAATTCACTGACGTATTTTCGCTGCATCAATTCCGTCTTATGCCTAACATTTAGGCATAGATGTACTTTTAAGGACTGTTCTGGTAAAGTGAATGACGTAACCCGCCTTTTTGCGACGCCCCTGTTGCCATAGAGATCTTGACGTCCCCGGGTTAGGGTTGAAGGTTTAAAGTAGAAAGAAGGTGTAGCCAGCTAGTTAAGTAGATTTTGAATTAGTAAAGGGGTCGTTATATTACCAAGTGTGACAGTTGCACCGCTGTCTTCCAAAATATGGATCTGGGCGCTATTTTGTCGCACATCGAGGACGGAGACAGCGACGAAATTGAGAGGCGCCTGCTGCAGTACAATCAGGAGGTATGCCGCCTACGCCTTTCTCTGGCTGCTAGCTGTCAGTGGCGCCTAACCTGTTAGCTAGCTAGCCTGGCTTTTAGCCGGTTAGCCAGCTAACCTGTTGTTTAATCTACTTGCTAGCTAGGTTGGCTTTTAGTAGGTTAGTCGGATAACCTGGCGATTAGCCTGTTAGCCAGCTAGCCTGACTTTTAGTAGGTTAGTCAGATAACCCGGCGTTTAGCCAGTTAGCCCGGCGTTAAACCTGTTAGCCTACTAGCCTGGCTTGTTGCCAGTTAGCAGGATAGCCTGGATGGAGATCGCAAGCCACGCAATAAACATTTCTTCAAAATGTTGAATTCGGTCTCTTTTTCTGTCCACAACTGGTTTTAAATTCGGCGAACTGGTGTGCTTATTAGCAAGGGGGTGTCTGTTATTAGCCTTGGTATGAGTGTAACGAGCTTGCAGAAGGATTTGCGTGCATGGGGCTGCGGTATAAATCCTTCATAACGCTAAAAGTAAATTATATGAATCATAATACCCGTGGAAGGTTTCCAAAACCCACCGGTATTTAAAATCTGTTTTTGATGGTTTAAAATTATGAAAAAATAGCGCTGTGCTCCATACGGTTTTCAAAACACAATCGTGTCTGTAATCTGCATATAACTCTCATTCTTATTTTCACCAGAACACGTATTATACTGCGCATGACATTTTACATAATGCCAGTCACTGTTATTGTTTTTGCTTTTCCCCCCCCATCTTTTATAGAATAGTCGCACCTTCACTTTTGACCAAAAAGAAGAGGACAAACGAGTTGTAAGTTGTTGACTTAATTCAGTTTTAAAACGAAACTGCCTTGACCGAGTTGGAACCGAAAGCTGTCTTCCAGTCCATAATTTCTCATACTGTTAGCTCATGAAAGTTTGGTTGTGGGTCCCTTGGGTGGCTGATGGTGGGCTGTGTGCTAAACGCTTTGTTTTGCTTCTTACTGCCCCACAGAGGCTATGTCAGGGTTTGCTGACTGTTCTGGGCAGACAAGTTCAGCCTCGCTGCCAGAAGGCCTGCCTGGAGACATTGCGCATCTTGTCTCGGGACAAGCGGGTACTTGCACCAGTGGCCACAAGAGAGGGCATGCTTGTACTGGGCAGACTGGCGGGACTGGAGTCCGCGGACGAGATTGGGGGCGGCCCAGAAGATGTACAGGTGTTGGTGGAGGCCCTAAAGTGCCTTTGCAACATAGTTTTCAATAGCCAGGAGGCCCAACAGGTGGGAGCCGACATCCAGATGGCCCGGGGCCTCTGCCGGCAGCTGCAGATGGGCCGCGCCTGCTGGCACGAGGTGGAGCTCTTCTCCTTGCGCCTGATCTTCCTGTTGTCAGCCCTGCGAACTGACGTGCGCGACAGTCTGCGGAGGGAGCTCTCCGCCGTCAGCGTGCTTACCCGAGTGCTAGAGGACACTCTGTGCGTTCGCTGGGTGGGGCCCTATGAGGTCGCTGCACCCAGCCCCATGGCTCCTCCCCTCTCAGCTGAGGCGACTGAACGTACCATGGAGGCTCTGAAGGCCCTGTTTAATCTCACACTGTCCAGCAGCACTGAAGAGGTGAGATGACCATCACGTAGCTACACATTCTGTGCATGATTAGTTATTACTCTGGGTTACTCATCCCGTGAGCTGAAGATCTGCACCCATTTTTGTTCCAGTGGAATATTTATAAATTCTTCGCATCCGTTGAAGTCAGCCACCTGCTTTCTGCTGCAGTTGCAGGGGGAGAACTTGCTGGGTTCTGCCCAGTATATGGTAGAGGTTTCTGTAGAGAGCGGAAAGAACCCAAGTCAGTTCTTTGTTTATGTTTAGCTCCCTTGCAACAGACTGCTAATGCAGCACCAAGGAGGAATCGGGCCTCACCATACTGCACACCTTTCAGTTAGCAGTTCATTGTTGGAGTCGCTCTATGGGTTTTTTTTTTATTTCAGTTTTCATTGGCGTGTTAAAGACAGCTGCTTAAATTATCCCATTGTTTTCAAAGCCTGAACCTGATGGGTTGTAGGATACAGACCGATTCCATTGTCTGTTTTTCCCCCACATGAGCTGTGTGCTGAGTTTTTTTTATTTTTTTGGTATTTTTTCCTGTAAGATTGAAATACAAATGGACTTGTTCTAACCAAAGGAAAAAACTTTCACCTAATATATAATTCATTGATGTGACAGTTCTTTTTTCGTTAATGTATTATGCACAAATCCAAGTAACAGAACACCGCTTTCTCTGGTCACCAGAGAAATGGGGCACAGATCTCATGAACTGTCAGCCTTTCCCTTTCTAAACCTTGTCCTAACTGATAAACCTCTTAATAGTACCAAAGCTGCCTGACCTCTGTTAAGGCTCTCCTGCATATCTTGAGCTCATATTAATTGGCTGAGAGGGATCAGGAATGCCGTCTGTTGTCCTTCCCACTTCTCCTTTATCCATAGCATTTAGCCCCAAGCGTCTCCTTAGAAGGTGCTGTGCGGATGTTGGGATTTGCGGAAAACTTGCATTTTGCTCTGCTGCTGTTTAACGAGGTTGTGCAGGAAGTGGTACCGCAATCACCAGCACTGGACCATATTTCGCAATTTTAATTCTGCAGAAATAAAGATCTGCCTTGGGGGCATTTTAAAAAATAGTTATTTGATTTTGTGTGTTATGTAGTGTTACCCCTTAACTAAACAGGGTTGCAAATCGGTCAGATGGTATTTCCAGCTTTTATTGTCTTCAGTTATTTTTAATTTTCTAATTTTGACAACCCCATGATTTTAAACGGAGTTGTCATTGTAAAGAATTGTCAAAAAAGTGATTGTATTTCAAAGACGAAAATGAGAAAGGAATTGCAAGTGTAAGTAATATCTCTGGACATAAGTGATACTTCTGTACTTTGTAAATGTGTGACGCAGTGAATGACCATACAAAATAACCTAAGTATGTGTGTCATAAATATATTTTTAAGTTTTTGAAAAATGTTGTCCTCTAAGGAGCAGCAGGATCTGAATTCAAATCCGTTTGGTACATAGAATTACAGTTCACATGTTGGTGTGAAATGTGGGATTGATATGATGGGATAGCTAATTCTTTACATAGATCTTATCTTAACTTGTCCCATTTTAGCTGAGGAATCCTCAAAATGGTTCTGTTAGCTATTCTCTCAGTTCTTGTTTGCATTTCAGGTCTTTGGTTACCCAGGTCTTTGAAGGGGTAGCCATCTTAAGTTGAAGACCCTTATGGTTTAGGAATTCAGGATTTGTCTGCTGTCTGCCCTACAAGATTAGTAGATGAGCAGCAGTAGTGTTTTTTTTTGTCTTTTTCAAAAGAGTTGGCACCAGTTCTTTAAAGCTGTGGGTGCCAAGATTTTTTTCTTTTCTCCCATGATGCCAGGGATGTATTTAATGTATGGTAATGGCAGGCTGTATGTGACTTAGCCATGGGAAAAGGTTTATCTTAATGCTTCAATTTTCAAACGTTGTAGTAGGTAGTCTGTGAGAGTCCTTTTTTAGCAGCACAAGGAATTAAGTGTTTTTGTGTTTGTAAATCTGTCTTCCAAGCGGGTCAGGGTCACAGACGGTGTAGGACACACGGCAGCGGTCCACCCTGGACGAGATGCCAGTCTTTCACAGGGCATCCACGCATAGTCATGCTTTATGCTAGTTACCCTAAATCCATGTCTTTGGAGTGCAAGAGGGAACTGCAGTCCCCTGTGAAATCCCACACACACACACCCCCCCAGAGAAGTCTGTTTGCTTAACTATTTTTTGGCTGCAGTAGGAAACTCGCATAATACAGGGAAGATGCATAGACTCATACATAGCATGGGGGTATATAAAATTTATGATAAATGTATCATCATAATTATATGCTCATGTAATGCATTTAACCATATGTTATTCTGACACCACAAAGCTAAATCATCAGTAGTACTGTTAAACGTGGAATCAGCCTCCTTTTTATATTCAAGTAAACTGTCAATCACTAAATCCCCATAGTTCATTCTGTGGGTACGAGAGGCTTGTTGTAGCCTGCAAGTGTCATAGTCAGCTAGCTGCAGTTATAGTGTTTAGTGGATATTTTATAAAGCTGTGTATTGCTGTTTAAGTGACGTGTCAGCACTAGTCTTAGTTAGGGCTACTGATGCCTTTCAATGTGATGTCAATGAACATCCCAGGTTTTGGCTGAATCCTCCCCTTCCTTACCTGATGTTGCTCCCCCTCCCCAGCCTTCCCCTGC